ATTTAGACGCTCCCGGTGAGTTAAAACTATAATGTATATATTATATACAATACTCCTAAAATAATTGGCTGACTTGAGATGTCGCATAATAAAATTCGTAACAAAAAACGATGCTGTCAAAGTGTACGCGAGTCGCCATTTTGTTTTAGGTTGCATATTACTGTAAATAACACAAATGTAATCGTTATATTCTTCAATGTTTAAAATACCTAGGAATCAATGTGAACTGTGTTCATTTATGAAATAAAGGAATAAATGTTAGATACTAAATGATATTTCATTTACTTTTTTTTCTATTATTTCTTGACAGTGTATTAGAATATGTCTAGCCTACAAGTGACCCAAAACCGAAGGTCTAAGAGTAATCGTCCAAAAACGGAAAATTATTTAACTTAAAATTAATCTAATCTGATGCCGCGTCTTCTACTCCTACCTGGCAATTTTCCCAGCTTTAGCCAGGCCGACATGTTGTGAATAGTTTTGGCTAATTGTTTTTACGACCGGCCGCCTGCCTGACATCAACCCTCTTTTGGGATGATGCATTCCCATCAGTGATGTCTAAATATTCTTAGAAAGTACATATGACTCGGAAGAATCACATTGGTACTTGCCAGGGCCAGGATCGAACCCACGCCCTCATGCATGACAGGCGGGCCTTTTAACCATTAGGCCGCCACTGGCTAGGTCGTGTGTTACATAACTTATGTTAATAATTTCAGAGTTTGCTGTTGTTACATATAATTTGAGTTATATAAAATTCTTTAAAAAGTACATAAGCGATTTTTGAAAAATATCTGTATTTTTTAAAACAATATAAGAGCTCTTTATATTGCCGATTTGTGAAGTAAAACTTCTTTAGTCACGCTTGGAGGTAAGCTGGTGAAAGTGTTAGGATATAGAGAGTGTTACGGTTTATGTATCATCATCATCGGCATCATCATAGTGGATGTTTGCGGGTATGCATGGATGGATGCATGAGACGCCATCATCACAATCGATGCATGCATGGATGAATGGATGGATGGATGAATTGATGGATGGTAATTGTGTTTCGTATATTACTGTATAGGGGCAAGGGAGAGAGCAGTACGCGTACATTTTCTTTCATAGCCAGTGCATGAAATATATAGACATGCCTCTATTATACATATATAAACATATGAATATACATGGAGTGAAAGAAGTTTTACTTCAGTCGTGTGGTCTAAAGCACTGGTTTATTTTTTATAAATTCATATCTTTATCCGTTCTTCATGACAGCAAGGGATTAGAACAGTTTGTCAGCGTTTGTGTTTATTTGGGTGTCTAGCAGAGGCGAGTTGATTTTTTAAAAAAATCTATTTATGCTTGAGGACCAGTACTTGAGCAATTGTATTCTAATAGATACAATGTTGCAAGTGATTAAAAAGTTGTTTTTAGTCTAGATAAGCTCAAAATTACACCATCTAGTAAAAAGGGACAAAGACTTGACTGTAAGTCTGGGCCTCACGCCCTATATGAAAAATACGCTTTAAAATAGGTTCCCAAACATGTGTCTGCTGTGTGATTTTCAAGTACGGAATCCGAAGCTTTAGGTTTAGCTCACAAAGACCTAAATTTTGCATGTGTTAAAGCTAAAAGTTATAAAAAAAACGTATTTCGAAAGGGATCAATATTAAACATACATCTATATGGTATATCTACTAACAAATCTGAAAATTATGGCAAGTAATGGGCGACAAAAAACGCTATTCTACCAATACGAGCTACCAGTGGCGGCTGTACCTTAAGTGCGCCCGTGCGCTGAACCACCAATTCAAAATATGTATTTAAAAATTACAAAATATTATGTCAACTTAATTTTTAAATTACCATTTTAATATTTATTTTTTAAACATACAAAAAGGTATAAAAAATTTAATTTCCAATTATGGTCAAAAAGTTTGAGCGCTTTACTAAACTCATATCGTGCGCTCCGGCGAGTGCACGAGGACTCCTAATACATCTTGTATGAGACACGCATTAATACGCCTGGCGCGTGAGACAAAAGATAGTTCATAGAAATGTACCGAGTAACGAGTCGGTTCTCGCGCGCCGCACGAAGCGGCCGAAGGTTACCGAGAGCACCCGATGTATGACGTATTGAGCCGGCCGGCAAGGGGCCGCCCGAAAGGATGGGTGCTATGATTGACATTTCGTTAATCGTTATTGGTATTGTTTCAACTTTCACTGTATGCGTGACGCGTTAATTCGTTATTGTTTATAATTATTTCCGTAATTCGTTTTAGTTTTTATTTCGTTTCTATAATAGAACTTTTATTCTGTACTGTGTTTTTTATTAGTTGAAAATGAGTATAAATATTGATTATATTAAAGAAAATAACAAAATTTTTCAAAGTAAAGTGAACATAAAATTGGCCGGGCCGCCACGGCCCTTTTTAAATTTAAAACAAGAGTGTAAATCGAAAAATAAAGCATTTATACGAAGTTTTAAAAGTGAAATGTATAATAGAAAGAAATGGTTGTGTGGATGTGAGCGTCTTAATACATTCTTTTGTTTTCCTTGCATTATTTTTGGCGGAGAATCGATTTGGACAGAAACTGGAATCAGATTTTAATAAAAAGGTGATAGAACATTTCGCTACAGAAAAATGTCGTCGCATTGATTTAATGTACAAAAAATAAACATATTTTATGTCAATTGTTGTTTTTGTCAATATTTTAGTAAAGTGAACCACCAGTTCGATAACCCACCAGCCGCCACTGCGAGCTACATCTTTTTTTGACTTCTTTGCCGAAGTTTTTTATGATGAAGGGGGAAACAAGCAGAAGAACCTCCTGATACGAAGTATTTATCCTAGCCCTTAGGCTGGTGTTGCGGATGCGTTGACAACCTTGATGTGGAGAGAATGATGAAAAAATGCTGATGGTTCAATAACAATCCTATCAAAAGTAATCTCTTCATCTGAACTGATAGTAGAGTTTGTGTGACGCTGTCACAGCGCTCCCTGTCTGATCCACAGGTGTAAGATCTCTATGGACCCCACGCGAATGAAACACTTTCAACGGCACAAACAAACTTATACTGATGCGAGACAGAAGATCATTGCATACATCAACATCCTGGGAGAGGAAAGAGTAAGAAAAAGAAAAGAGCAACGGGCACTCTCACTCATCAGACGAATTGCAGCAATGAAATACTCCTTTACGCCGATCTCTTGTGAGAGTATACAGTATTTCCCCTTTTCGAGCCAGCCCATGTTTGATCTGTAGTTAATTGGCCCCAATACGAAAAATATGTCGCACTTATAATAACGAATTTTCTCAGGTTGATATTCTACGTCATAATTCAGCCGCGTTTCATAACAAATTGCGGGACATATTATTGGAAAAAAATAAACCACCTAGCAGTCCTGTTTCTCATTAACATTGATTAAGAATTTAGTTTAGTTTGTTTTAAGTATCAAATATTCTCTGCACATTTCGCCATCGCTCCCTTCACATACTAGATTAGGTTTACACATCGCTTTTATCAAATGTACTTATTAGTGGAGATACATGCCCAAGCGTCCTCTCATTTTAACTTAGTTATATTTCTTGGTGAGAAATATTTAAAGACACAGGTATTTTGTCTTTAATATGCTGTATTGTTGTTTATATTTTTTATTATACTCCTGTGACCTGTTTTTTCTCCAATAAACTAAAAAAAAAAAGTTGAGCTATACTACCATAAAAACTTGTTAGTAAAATAAAAGTGACAGTTTTGAAGGAGTTTTCATAATTATTGATCACCAAATAACGTGCTCGTTGTTACCTTTAGTTTGACTAAATTATATCCGAATACCGATTCGCTAAAACAATGTTTCAGCTATAAACCCCATGTCGTATACAAACCTTAGGCTAGAAATGTCATATAATATATTGATATCTTAACTTCTCGTCGGTCAATTTACTAACTTAACTAAAAAATATGATAAATACGTTTGATTAACGGCAAAAATTATTAGGAGTTGTTATGAGCACCTTGCGAACAGCTGTTCAGATGTCATTGCCTGCAATTAAAAAAAAACAAAAGGGGAATAAGCAAAAGTTGTTGTCAAGTAACTTGGCAGAAGTTCATTTCCAAAAAAAATAATTCCCAAACGATATGTGTAAAACGTTTCATTTCACGTTCTTCTTGGTAAATGTGTTATTATATTATTTGTATTATTAACATATGATGAAAGACTTACTTAGGATATTTGGAGCATATAAAAACAAACAAATGACAGACTTAAATGTTAAAATGTATTTTTATAAAAGAAATTGTCTGATATATTTTTCTAACATGATCTATCTATGTCTTTAGAGTTATCTTGAAATGGAACGTAAAAGTTAGTTCAATGGCAGTCTTGTCATTTTTCTGATCTAAGAAGGCTTTTATTCCGGAAAAATTAGGTTTCGCATTTATTTTCGTAAAATCATTTAATAACCTTATTTCCGATAGGGCGTGTGTAATTACTAATTGTATTACAAATTCAAGCAACACCGCTTGTCTATATATAAATAGCTTACATCTTAGTGTCATTATAATCGATATAACTTGAAAAACTATATTTTTTTGTCGGTAATTTGTTATCATTTTGTCAACAAAGTTATGAGATAGTAAGAGGTAACCATTATTTTGTATTTTGCTTGATAATTACAACATACATATTAATTAAGTGTTGTTCCAAATAAATGTTTCCAATTATCTTAAATTAAAAACTAAGTATTGACGTCTAATATTTTGAGTGAATCACTTAAAAGTAGTCAGCAGACGTTACCCAACCTTAATTATATAAAGAATTTTACGATTTTACATAATATTGTACGAACTTGAAAGTTTTGCTTTTCATTATAGTTGATATCCATTCCATTTATTTGAATTATGTATTGATACATTAGGCTTTTGATATATTAAGCGTCTCTTATATCGCTCCTTTGATAGTATAAAGTATTGAGTATAAAATTATAATAGATATAAAACTTTTCAGGCCAAAATGTCATTAGAAAGAGAAACAATGGGTGTAATGCCACCCATTTCCGTCGGCAGTGGACCACTGGATCCTCGCTCACAGTTGATACAAGAAATGAGAGACCAGAACTTCGATCTCATCAGATTCGCTTCATACAGGACGGCATGCAAACTCAGATTTGTTCAGAAGAAATGCAACTGTATGTTTATTACCTTTATTATCATAATTTTATCATGTACATACTTATTCTAATTATCTTAAATATTTATGATAATACACTTCAATTCTGTAATCCTTTGATATATAACAATATATGTAATATAATAAAAAATATTTTTAATTCAATTACAGTACATGCAATCGATATATGGAATGTCATCGAGGCATTCAGAGAGAATGCTCTAAACACTCTAGAGCCGACAGCATGTGTGAATGTCACGAGACTCGAGACATTAGTATCATCACTATATCATAATTTAAACAAGAGATTGCCACCCGCTAACCAAGTCTCGGTGGAAGTGTGTTCGGCATTGCTATTGAACTGGCTATTGTCGGCATTTAGTACTGGGTAAATATATTTTCTTATTAGTAAATATTTCTTATTATTCTATATGGATATATGTACTCATATTTAATCATATTATTGGTATTTAGTCTGATTTATATAATTCTACCATTATCAATATAAGTTGCATGAAATATTTATACAAATCTGTTTCTATCAATATTATAGCGTCATATAATTAATTTATTAAATTTTCTTTTCTTTTTTCAGTGAGAATGTGGGCAAGATAAGAGTATTCTCAATCAAAGTTGCTTTAGCAACTATGTGTGCCGGCAAGCTGATGGATAAATTGAGATGTGAGTGAAATAATTATCATGAATTAATAATTAATGTAATTTATTTATTAATATTAAATTATTTTACAGATATTTTCTCTCAACTTTCGGATGGTAATGGTCATTTACTTATGAAGAGGCTCTCAGACTATCTGCGGGAAGTTCTGGCATTGCCGGCAGCTGTTTATGAATCACCATCATTCAGTTACAATGACAATCTAGCTATGGCTATATTTAACCAGGTGAATAATAATTGATTATGTAGAGTATAGTTATGTTAGTTTAACTATTTATAAATCAAGAATGGCTGTATGGGATTGGCTGAAAATTGGTGGAGAGATAGCTTTTAAAATGGGAAAGGTCAAATGATACTTTCCATCTGAATAAAAATAAATAATATACAGGTTAATCAAATTCAAAATCTTCTTATATTTTATCTTTATCAGGAATAGGGTACTGGGTAGGCCCCGGCAGCTATACATTTCTAATTCTGAAACTAACGCCAACGAAGGCTAGTATGTAATATACATATATAAAATATACAAGCAAAATAAAAGCTGCACTTAAAATACAGTTATGGATATCAGCTATTATTTAATCTTAGTCATTTAAATATTATATATTATATATTTGTTAGAAAATTATATGAAGAAATAAATAAAATTATAGTGTCTGTTTGTGATATTAATCTGAAAGTACTTAATGGAAGGAAAATGTAATAAAACAATTTTTTACGCTCGAGTGGTAAGACAGATAATTAAGAAATCGATGGCGGTAGGTGATAAAATAATAAGACCAACTGACAGACACTCAAATCTCGTCTGCCCGTGATCACGGTTGCTGTAAAGTAGCCGAAACGTCGGGAGTATGTAGTTTATAGTCAAAAATAAAGGATCGCGTAGTAAATCCGAAAATATTAGTTTCATTTAAATGAATACTCGCGAAAATCTTGGATTTCATTACAAATTTTTATTTTTGTCGGTTTATCTGTTTGTTCCGATACACTCTGAAACAGCTGAAATTTATCACACATCATTTGATAAGAAGTAGTAAAGTATGTTATTATTTTTTAATTGTATATATTAATTATTATTCCGAGCAAAGTCGCGGGCTACTTATATCTATATTATTTGTTGCAGAATGTCAAAATAACGGTCAATGACTTCTTGGACACACTCATGTCAGACCCCGGACCGCCATGCCTTGTGTGGCTACCGTTACTACACAGACTGGCTAGCGTGGAAAATGGTTTGTTAATAATAACCTTCCTTTTATATATACATGTTTTAAATACAGATGAATTACTTTTATATATGTAATTGTATATAAAATTACAGAATTTTTTTGGAAATAAGTTTAAAAAATATTCTTTATTAAACATCAAAATATTTATCAATACTAAGTTCTTTGTAAATTATCTATACTGTCTTTGGTTACAACAAAAAACCAATGTCATTATTTCATTCATTCATTTCTTATTTTCATTCTTATTCATCATAAAAATCTTCATATGGACCTGGTTTGATCACAAAGTATATACAGAAACCGGTTTGTCTATACTTATAATAAATCTGTAGAGCGATCAATCCTGTACATAAAATATATTTAAAAAAATAACTATCAGGGGGTGGTTAGCGATCGCTACTGATGCCAGAAATGCAATCAGTAAAATTTTTGTCTGTCTGTCTGTATATTCGTTATAGATACAAAAACTACTCGACGGATTTTAACGAAATTTAGCATAATTATTCTTCATACTCTTGGCCTTTGGGCAGGTTAAAGTCTTACATAAAACTATATATAATACATATGAAGTAAACTAATATACAAGTTAATCTGTCTGTTCTTCTTCTAGTGGTACATCCCCTAGCCTGTAGCGTCTGTCGTCGCGGGTCATTGACCGGGTTCCGTTATCGTTGTACCCGCTGCGCTGCTTATACTCTATGTCAAGATTGCTTCTGGCGGGGTCATGTCAGCCCACCACATAGCAATGACCACGAGGTCAAAGAATACGCTACCTACGTAAGTATCAAGTTATACTGGTTGTATATTAGATTAATTCGTGTATGATCTATGTATGATTTATCAAAGTGAGCAATAACTCCCCCTTGTTAATACTAATGGAGGCATAAAATGCCAAGAAACCTAAGTATCATGTTATACTGGTTCTTTGACTAAGACATATTCGTGTATGATCTATGTAAGATTTATCAAAGTGAGCGATAACGCCCTCTTGTGGATACTAATGGAGGTATAAAATACCAAAAAAGTGGGAGTGTAAAGGCCTGGGTGGTTTGTCATTTCATTCAGCTAAGATAAGTTATAGCGGTTTTTCACTAAGTAACCAAAGGGGTTGATAAAAAATAATTTATTCTCAAAGTGGGAGGTGAAAATTAGTTTGGGGACTCCTGGTCTATACAGACAGGCAGAGAAATAGTAAAAGTAATAGAGATTATAGTTAGGTTTTTAATTTAAAAAGGAGCTCTGATTATCAATATTAAGACAATAATAAACAACTATCATATTTTTCAATAATTTTGTATTTGGATGATATTTATTTTTAATACAACGCTAAAAATTCGTATTTACGTCGAAAGCCCTATAGGAGTTTCCTAATTAGTCAAAAGATTACAACGTGTGTATTACACGTATCAGTGATGGTCACATTAGCTTGAAAAAAGTAACTGAAACATATTTTTGTGAATTACCAAAATATTATCAAAATACTAACCCATTACTAGGTTACCTTAAACGAAGTTCAATAACTAGAAATAATTCTTAGCAAGACTAAGCACGAGGTAGTAAAACTCTTCACCTAATGATATTTAGAAAGGAATGTTCAAGAATTTATCAGACCTAAAGACTGGCCGTCATTTAATATTGATCCTTAATCTACAGAGTTATAATTTATAATTAGTTTTAGAGAGTAGCGCTTACTCTAAACTCAAAGATAATTTAGACTCCCAAAAGCAATTCATGTGATAGCCATTAATGAATATTTCCATAGGAAAAGTTCCTTAACCATTGGTACCTGGTCTCAACGTATAAAAGACTGTATTGCAGCCCATAAAGATCATTTAGAATAATCTTTATATATTTTATTGTTTCTATATTAAAGTATTGAAAATATTCTTTGTAACAATATTAATGGCAAGACTAGGAATATTAAATTAAATACTTAAACATCCTCATGTGTTTTGTATATCAATATGATATATTTTTGTTTATTTGATTACAGAAATCTCCATCAAAACAGATCGGCGCGACTCTTCGTAAGTCATTCCGCTGTGTTCCCGAGCGAGCAAGACCAGTTCTACCGAGATATCCCGACCAGCCAGAAAGGACACTCAATTTAAGCCATATTGTGTGAGTTGATAGTTCAGCATTAAATGATCATGAACCAGCACCTAAATGTTGATATCATAGAATTAGAATATACTTTATTGTAACAAACAGTAAATTTTACACGAAAAAAATAATAATAAATTGAAATGTACAAAAAGGCGGTCTTATCGATTTCTGCCAGACAACCTTCGATTTGGGGAAATTGTGCAGCGAAAAGGTATATATCATATATATCATAGTATAATAAGTGAACAGTTTACGTTAAACTGGTCTTGTATACTAGTAAATATTCGCAGAGCTCTTCTTACACTGGAGGTTATAACCATTTTAGTAAGACAACCATCATAATTTGACCTAGATTATTATAATTAATCTTTATATATATAATTCTTCTGTGAGTGTGTATGTCACTGAACTTTTCTCAAACGACTGGACCGATTTTGATGAATTTTTTTTTGTGTGTCCAAGGGGATCTGGGAATGGTTTAGATTCACAATTTCGTGCGCTGGACAATGTTTTTTTTAATTACTTTTTTATTTATTAGTAGTTGTTGATACAAACGTTTTTTTTGACATTAGATTTGACAACTAACTAATATGTCAATCATTCTGTCGCACTTCAGAACACGGAGATTTATGGATTTAATAGGTAAACTCCAAAAATATAAATAAAAAAATCGTAACAGATATTTCTTGATTATAGGGCGATACGAAGTTCGCCAGGTCTTCTAGTATCCTAATAATAGTTCATGTTATTCTGGTTTCAGTCCGCCGTCTCCAGTGCCGGCTCACAACGGCTTCCCGGAGTACACCGGCTACAACACGGGCTCACTGGACAGTCGTTCATCAAGATCTACACACAGAAGTACATATTTTATATACAGGGTGACTGGTGAATTACTATCGATACTTGAGGACGTGATATTTGACGATCATATATGACAAAATAAAAATTAATATAACATAAATATTAATAAACTTCTAAGTAAAGTTAACCAAAAGTTATGTAATTAATTACGGATCGTGTGAATACCCTACAGATTAGGTATACTCACACACACACACGCGCATGCGACGCCGTAGTGTTGTATCAGCACGCCGCCGCACGCGTCCACACTTGGAACACTTGGAACGTGTCTACACTTTATTTATTTATACGGAAATTTGGTTAAAAATTAAGTACTTATTTTTTTTACATAATTCGAATGAGAATCATGTACTGAGTATTCTCCTTAAATATTGATAGTAACTCACCAGTCACCCTGTATATGTATATATTTCGATGGATTCTATGTATAAGGTCCAATGTGCAAAATGACAATTGTTCAGTAGAAGTGTTCAAAGTTTGATTTCAATGTATCTTGTATGCGACAACTGATGCTTTTGAAACTTTGCTTAGCATCATGATATACATGTACGCCGTTTAAGATTGATAAAGTTTTTTGTAAACCTACTAGTTAATTGTGTTACTTATGCCCTTTTACTGCAATAAAAACTAAGTCTTTACACCAACAAATACACATTTTTTTTAGAATACAGTATTATGAAGTGTTTAAAGCAATAAAATGAAAAATGCTACATTGGCTCTTATACATACATAGGACCCATTAATATATGATATTAAAAAGCTTAAATCTTCCATAATATGAAAAAATATCTTTATCTTTGTAATTTTTTTATACAAAACTCATAAATATGTATAAGTAACGTACTACATATAAAAAGTACCCAAAAATTGTTTTTTCAGGCATAGCTGAACATCTGTCGCGTGGAGTGGATGATGAGCATCGCCTCATAGCGAGATACGCGGCTAGGCTGGCGCATGAGAACAGAACTATGGTTATATACTGACATATACATATATAATAGTTATATATTATTATGTACTACAATATTAATAAGTGTAGTGAAAACTTTGTATCGATGAAGAGGAAGGCTTGAACGTGTAATAGAAATAAACAGTTGTAATTTATGTTGAGAGGAATTGTATATAGATGTATCTGTTATATAATTATATGAAATGTATTATAGAGATATTGAATAATCAAAATTAACATCACACACACTACTATGACACCCACACACGCGCACAATACATCAATACGTAAAGATATGTCAATGTGTGTGTTGTTAGTAAATATCAAACAACATTTATATTCTACTATTGAACATGAAATAATCAATTAATTATCTAGTATCAAATTTTGGAAGTGTCTAGTCTTAATAAAATTTCATGTTTTCCATATATAATAAATGAATGAACTTAATTAGTTTGTATATTGAAAAAATATATATGTATTATAAATTTTAATATAAGTGAACATTTATTTTACAGCCGAGAGCTGGAAGATCTGCATCTTTGACTCCTGAATTGGTGAGTTTTATGATTATATATAGAAATTAATATATTAAATATTACTCTATTTAGATCTGTATGACCCTATCTGACTTTTAACCTTGACTTCTACTTCTTATATATATTTAAGCCTTAGATATAACCTTATTCTCTTATACATACCATTTAAAGCATATATACCTATATGTTATGTACTATAATATATATTATATGTATTATTATGTATATTCAGGGTCGTTCGTCTTCCGAAGGGTCGGAGGTGGATGCTGCAAGACAACAGCGGGAACTGATCTCACAACTAGAGGCCAAGAACAGGGAGATTATGAGAGAGATAGCTAGACTAAGGTAATACAATGTATAGTATAGATAGAAAATTAGATATATGTTCCTGGCCCGGGCAAGTACCAATGTGATTTTCCCGAGTCATATGTACTTTCTAAGACTATTTAAACATTACTGATCAATGTTGATTCCCAAAAGAGGATTTATGTTAGGCAGGCGGCCGGTCGTAAAAACAATTAGCCAAAACTATTCACAACATGTAAGGCAGACCCTGGCTATAGCTGGGAAATTTGCCAGGTAGAAAAAAATAGTATAGATAGAAGATCAGAGATAGAAAATGTTCAATGAGAAAATAGCTCGGAAAACGACTTGGTCAGAGAGAAATTTACATAAATATACGTGCTATGGTCTAATGAAACGCACACGATGCGTTGTGGCAAGAAAAAAACTATATGGATTACTAGACTTACGCTGGAAAAGTTTTGTGTAGAATTTGAACTTGAAGTAAGCAATGTTGGTAATGTGACACAAAAACATACTTCATTGATAAAAAGTACAAGTATAGCTCCGTGAATATGAAATGCAACTCAATGTGCATAGTAATAGTTCCCGTTAAAATAAATTGCAATTAAATATTTATTTTATACAATTAGGCATCCATAAAGTACGTCACTCGAATTTTATGACTTTTGAACCACTCTCTCAATCCTTGTCACAAATTGTCACATTTTTATAACTCCCCTCCTAATGTGACGTAACACATGATTTAAATTTATGTGTTTATCAAAATAATCGAGAAAGAATAGACATTTTCCTAATTTTATTATTTTTATTAAATAATAATCTAATAATATCAACATAAAGACCAATATTTCATGAAACCGATTTCTGTAATGTTCAATACACACCCAAACTTAATGTTTTGGTTTAATTTAAATGTGTGACTTTACGGATGGCTCCTTATAGTAACTTCTACTATAAGTACATTCTTCTTCTTCCTAGCAATTTTCCAGCTTTAGCCAGGGTCTTATTATAAAGCCAATATGTAATTCCAGGCGTCAACAGGAAGCGGAAGCGTCAACCGGTAACGCCCCTCCGTTAGTTTCGGAGCTGCGAGCGTTGAGACAGAGGAAGGACGAGCTGGAGGGACACTTGTCCTCGCTGCAGGAGTCAAGGAAACATCTCATGCATCAACTGGAGGGACTCATGAGGATGCTCAAGGTCACATATATATGTATTTGACTGCATTGTCTTATGTTCACCAGTGCCGGCGTTAGGGGGGGAGGGCGCAATGGGGCGACGGCCCAGGGCACCAAATGGGGGGAGCGATTATGGGACGAAGATGGTAGACGGAATATAGAATTCTTAATACACATTCAGTGTTCACATTGGTTCAGAAAAAATTAATACTCGATTTTGATTTCTTCAAGTAGGCGCCAAAATATTTTTGCCCAGGGTGTCAGTCGGCACTGATGTTCACATATTATATCCATACTTCCCTACTAATATTATAAATGCGAAAGTAACTCTGTCTGTCTGTCTGTTACGCTTTCACGCCTAAAACACTGAACTGATTTTAATGAAATTTGGTACAAAAGTAGAGTTGACCTTGAGAAAGAATAGGATAGTTTTTATCCCAGACTTTTGAAAGGTTCTCTTGGAAACGCGATATAACCGAACTCCACGCGGGCGAAGCTGCGGACGGAAAGCTAGTACAATAATATTAACGCTAGTTTTATATATAATATTTATATAATAATACTACTCTGATAAGTAATCAGCATTACTATAAGTTCTAACATCACTACAGTATTTCATTCATAAATCTTCACACATCCTACTAATAATAATTTTTGAATGAAACGTCAAACGCTTCTTATATAGTATATACTAAAACGCTTGTGGTTACAATTATTCCCACTAACTCATCTATTAATATTCCAGACCCAGCAATCCAGTCCTCGTTCGACCCCAAACTCATCGCCTCGATCCACTAAGAGCCCCCCACTGCCGGGGTCGCAACCCCAACAAGCCCCTGACAGGTATTTAACCCCCAAATAACAATTAATATATAATGAAAAATATATAAGCTTGATTTGAACCTGCGACTACTACATATATTAAAATGCGGTCGCTTTAACATTTGAGCTACTGTGTCTTTACTAAAATCAGTAAATATATATTATACATATTAAAACAGTCATATGTATAGGAATGTTTTAAAATTTTATCATGTATTAGCTTTTCTAATATTGAAAAGTTATTGCAAATTATTACAATAATTTTATATATACTAATTGGAAGCAAAATTAAACTATTTTCACCCTACAAATGTATTTAAAATATATTTTGATATAATCGTATTTATTACTATGAGTTAACGACTTTAACATCAAAATTGATAGTTCTGATATTAATAAGATCTAAGATTTTCGCGAGTATTCATTGAAATTAAACTAATATTTTTCGGATATACTACGCAGTTTATTTTTGTAAAAAAATAATACATACTCCTGACGTTTCGGCTACTTTACAGCAACCGTGATCACGGGCAGATGAGATGTGAATGTGTCACATTCCGAAAAATATTAGTTTCATTTAAGTTCTCATATTAATTCACATGAAAGTAAATCTTAACATATATTTTTGAATCTTAAAACATTACCCTCGTGTGAATATTATCTTTGAATGATGTCAATCATATTTATTTCTCTTTCTGTGTATATTCAACTATTGTTAATTTTTTTTTTCAACGTGAATATACCTAAGTCTTGTTATATATTATGTATGTATGTGTGTAGGGAGTCCCGGGGCGCAGTCCGTAGTGCTCCGCAGACACCCTCGCTAGGAGAGAGGGAACGAGTCGATATGACACACAGTCTGGGTGAGTTGACTCTATGGTATGTTGACCATAGACTACCATAGACTATATAGAATACAGGAGGAATTTATAACAGTTAGCCTAGTGCATTGATGAAGGCCATATTTAAAATAATCTAAAAGTTGGGCTGAAAATTTCGTAGGTTAGCATAGAAGAAATATGTTATTTCTACACAATAACTAAGGTATAGTTACCTTCAGGGACAATCCAATCAAATTCTTTTGATACCATTTTTATAGCACGATTTATCTTTACTCTCAACATAGGTTTCAAGTTCGGCAATCTTATATACGATATCAATACCAAAAATAATAAATGCTATTTACAATGAACATGTTTTTTATCAGGAGAAAAGGAAAAACAAATATACATATATAAGCAAAATATTAATGATTTTGTTTTCATACTTCAAAATGTTTGTTGTTTCAATAAACATAAAGAAAAATATATATAATATACTTATTTTGATACTAATATAATTGAGATATTTTCTAAATTGCTTATCCAACGATTTATATGTTGTCAAATATCTTTTGTGATTCAGATTACTAGCATTAGTGCAAGGACTATGGTTCTTAATTTCTAATAATGCTGTCTTTTACATTGTAGTAGGTATATATTAATTTAATTGTTTTTACAACTTAGGTGCCATGGAGAGTATGGGAGGTGATTCCAGAAATTTCCATAAAAATGAAAGACCCACAACAAGTGAGTACAAAAAAAAATATATAAGAAAAAGATTTTTACTAAAATTTTTATACAGTTTCATTGCAATTTTGAAAAATACTTATTATTTTGTTTCCAGGTAACTATTTCCCAAATTTATTTTAGTTTTATTACACTTTTAGAATAAATGAAATAATATTAAAAATAAAGATTCAAATAAAATATTGTATTTCAAAAATATATATAACATGTAATATTACGGCTAATATATCATAGACAATCCATTTACAGTGGGCATAGACAACAGGAGTCTCAGAAGTGATCTTCTATACGCCGCAGATTCAGTCACTAACGCCATGTCAACTCTAGTACGGGAACTTAACTCTGGTAATTGTCATATATATCTATATATATTTATATATGAATCAATATTAAAAAGTATATGTGTATATTGGAATTGAAATCCCATGTCTCTAAACTGCCATGATATCTCAATTCCATATAAATTGTTAATGCATGTTTTTTTCTGTTATGGCACGTTTGTCGGTTCTTGCATGGACACTTAGTAAATAAACACCCCCATGAGTGCATACAGATTATAAATTTGAATTAGCATACCAAAAAAAAAAATTAATAATCATAATTAAATATATATAAAATAGAACAATGAAATAATTTAACATATATCAAACTCTTAATAAAATAATAATAAATTAATTTCGAACCACATCCTGTATAATCAGTGAATAAAATATCAAACTACCCGCCATATACAACATGTAACATAATTAACGTACACCCTCAAACACCCCAATTAGACTATAATAATATAAACGCAATGCATACACCAAATATTATTTATATGTGCGTTAGCATTGTTTATTTGTGAAATTAGTTATCCCAATTGTACACAATGTACTCGCCGCGCCCGCGCCCCTCTCTCCGAGTGCCGTCCGACAATAATAAATAGTAGGTAATAATAAGTACACGAAATAACTACATTATGATTTATGATTCTTCTTTCCATCACACTTTTCAAGCTTTAGATTGTTGACATTGAATTTTTTTTAATGTGAAGCCAATATTTTATAATTACTGATTTGTTAAATTAAATTTGTAAATAAGAATTATTAAACAGCTGATAACGCGTGATTTGATTAGACACCACAATACCTACGACAAAGTCGGCGTGTTTAAATGGTGTGAATCAAAATATTAAGTATTAACAATAATTTAAAGATCATAAACAAACTTACAGTTTAATTTGCACTCGCACGGCGTTGTCGTTTTAAAACATTTTCAAAATCTCGACCGCCTTGTTCAATGCACTTTAATGACCGTTTTCGCAATTGTGGTTTTATTTTAGATAATACTGCAGTGTTACTTTTTAATTATCTTATTTTTTAGTTCCTCGGCACTTGTTATCTCTGTGTTATAAACTAGCAATTTAATTCGCCCCCACAAAAAAAGTCGAGTCGCGTCAAATCAGCTGATCTAGGAGGTCAATGGACACGTGCGTAGGTATTTGGTGTGTGCCGGCTGTCGCTGTGCGTGCGTAGATATTTGTAAAATACTATTTTTGCCTTGAAACAAGTATCAGTTTTCTTTAATTGAATGATGATTACTAATGTAATATTTCATTTGAAAAATCTTAATACCCTGACTTACGATTCATTTTCGTTTCAATGAAGTGTTTAGATAACTGTGTGTAGGATGACTGTAATTTACTTAGTTCTATATAAATTTGAGAAAAAAAATGACCTACATAAAAAACTATAAAAATCGATCCAGATTCCGATTCTGAACAAACTACTTTCAGGGTGTGCGTTAATTATGTTACATGTTGTATATTATATATATAGATGATATAGGAGTGATGTGAGGTTTGTGTTGCAGAGGGATCCGATGCTGAAGAAACGGTCAAGGTGCAGCGGGAGAGAACACGGAGAGGTACAGACATACATACAACATATATAACATACATATGTATATGTATATGTATATACATATATATAACCGTGAAGAATAGAAATTACCGGGGGATAGTTTAGTTTGTGCACTATTAGCATAGATGTTAAATAAAACATACATATATTTGATTTATATTTTAATTCTATCATGATCATAAACGGGCCTTTTGGATTTTAATAAAACGATGTCGCATGTGTTCTGCATGTATTATGTTTAGTCGATGTTATTATAATAACTTTCAAATTAATCGTTATATAAATGACATCACGACGATATATTAAACATTTATTGGTATAATAAATAAAGGAAATATAATGAAGAGGTATTTAATTATTGAATGTAATCTAAGTTAATATAATAATGTTTATTATGTATCAGACTTTGAAGAGGACGATGACAGCGACGAGCCCATGCCGCGCCCGCAGCTGCCGAGACACTACAGACACGACAACAACGTACAGGTACATACACGTACAGGTACATACACACACACACACACACACACACACACCTTACATGGCCATAGCATAATGCTCTACTTTTAATTTCTTGAGTAATTAATAATTAGAATATTTCGTGTTATGTTTTTAAAAATATCCACCTAAAAACAGATTTGTCAAAAGAGAAGTAGTTGTTTATTTTACGACACTTTCCTTTTTAAGTTATAACTACGTAACTTGTAGTCTTCAAGTGTTATTCATATTTTATAACACGTGACATGTATTAAACTAGTCCGAAACACAAATATCTGTGTAATACATAACGTATGGACATTACATACTGTATGAGTCACCTCTCCTACATTATATACATATTTCCAATACACTACAACTTAGGGTGCTTCAAGAAGAGAGTGTACCTTTTTCTCAAAGGCCGGCAACGCGCTCTGGTGCCTTCTGGCTCGAGTGTTCATGGGCGGCGGTAATCGTCTACCATCGGATTGCTAGCCTGCTCGGTTGCCCCCTATATTATAAAAAAAAAAAAATAAAATATAATATCTTCTTCTACCTGACAATTTTCCTATCTTTAGCCAGGGTCTGCCTTCTATGTTGTGAATAGTTTTGGCTAATTGTTTTTACGACCGGCCCGCCTGCCTGACATCAACCTTCTTTGGAAATGCATTTATCAGTTATGTCTAAATACTCATAGAAAGTACATATGACTCGGAAAAATCACATTGGTACTTGCCAGGGCCAGGATCGAACCCGAACCCGCGTACATGAGAGGCGGGCCTTTTAACCACTAGGCCACCACTAACTAACAACATTATATAATTTACTCACACAGATACACTTAAATATCACTGACCACTTTACAATATATTGGCGCCAAAATAACAGAACAGCCCAACAATATTATAAAAATAACAGATTCCAAATTCTAAAGTTTTTTTTTTTATTATAACATTATTTATGGCCAGACTCATCTAATATCTAAACACTACACACATACATACATCCAACCTTTTAAGTGTGAACCTACTTGCTTTTTGCTATTATTTGTTTAGTATATAGAATTTGTTACATATTATTATCAGTTTTACATAATTTTGAGTTTTTTTTCTTATTATTTGTAGTATTTTTATTTTGTTATATATAAATCCTAAATATTATGTTGTGAAAATTTCTTATAGTATTATTTTCTTTTTTTTGTCCTTATATATTGCAATATTATTTATGCTTGAGGTTTTTTTGTTTTTCTTTTTATTTCCAGAGCATGCCACCTAGTGTTACTTCATGAGTTGTAGAGGTTTGTTTTAGTTTATATAATATAAATACATATATATTAAAAGAACATAAACTTATATATTATTTTTTGTACAGGATACCCCTCCACCGCTACCAGCTCGCAGTGGGCACTACTTCCCTCGTACATAGCTTCAAGGAATTCTCATCTTTATTTCCTATAACATAGAGCTGACATTCGGTACATACTATACTACGTTTAATTAATTTTATACCAAAAACATCTCTATAGTCATAAAAGTCGATTTTATCTGAATTGTTACTAGAGGAAAACATAAAAAGAATCTATGATCTATGAGAGGTTGAGTCCTTTCAAAAACTTACTGTTTATGAGACATTCTTTTTCTATATATGTATATGAAATTAATAATTACTTCATTTTATTATAACTATTACATAAGTATAGGAATTGTATCGTTATCTTATTACGCATATACAAGTTGAGGGAATAAAAAGAAATAAATTAAAAACTATCCGCTACACACAGACTGATATAATATATAATACATTAATCAGCATCTATATACCAAAAAAAACCGTAATTTATTTTTTATATAAAAACCGATAAATATATATATTCATACAATATTATATTCTTACAATCATCAAAACGGATTGCTCTTTAAGGAAGTGGATAAGAGATGGCGCCACTGTCTTTATTTGATCATAATCGTCTTCTGATTTAATAAATATATATAATAATTGTTAGTTACACATAATTTAGTGTTAAAAGACAATGCATAATGTTAGAAATTTTTTGTTTGGCTGTAAGGGTCTAGTCCTTTGTTATTTTTTAATTAAAAACCTAATTCCCCTTTTAATTTCCGTCTTCCATTAGTCAATTCCTTCCTTGATGTACAAAATAGTCAATTTATTCTTCCCTATCCATATCTGATTATAGCAAATCTATTTTGAAACCTCCTTAATATATTAAGTTTTTAGTAGTAAAATATCTTTTTAATCTATGTACATGTCAAACTGACAGCTTCCAATTTGAGCAAACATTTTTTTTAAATATATAGAAACTTTTTGCTCATTTATGTTCAAGACTGCGTTCACCACCGAACTATGAAATGCCAAAAGTTTTTAAACCAAAATTATTTTATAACAATTGGCAGCAAAAGTAAGTTTTAATGCATATTTTAATCCCAACCAATATTATGAGGTTTTAATCAAATTTATAACAGTACATTTCTTTTGTCTAGCTTTATTTCTACATATAAATAATTGTTTTAATGTATAATTTCTAATTATAAGGAATCATAATTTTTTTACCAAGTCTGTAAAATAAGTACAACTAAGTTTTTTTTATTATTTTGTTATTATCTTTGTTGTTTATTTAGGATTAGATTTTAAGTGAAATGATTTTAAAACTGTCATTCGTGAATGATTTTGACATTTCTTTTCATGCACTATGTTTGCGATGCTTATGACATGTTTGGTACAATATAAATTTTAATATACATAATATACTATATATACAGAATTATATCAGTAATTTATATACATTAAATGCTTGATATATTATTTAAGTATAACACTATCGGTATATGTGTTAGAGGTATTAGTGTTTGTATTATGATAGATCTTGCATATCATTTGAAGTAGGAATTGAGTGCAATACTGGCGCGGGGAGTGAGGGAGGTTCCATTCTGTTAGATAGTTAATTTAATATCATGTATCCAAAGTATGTGACTGCTGGGTGACGTGTTATATACAGACATACATATATTTATATATATCTTCTTCTACCTGGCAATTTCCCAGCTTTAGCCAGTCTGCCTTACATGCTGTGAATAGTTTTGGCTAATTGTTTTTACGACCGGCCGCCTGCCTGACATCAACCGTTGATATAGATTTTTATTTTAGTTCAAACGATTATTTTAGGATCAGTACAATAAGTGTCATTTCATGTAGTATAGTAATACAAATAATAATATTGAGTTTTTTATATACATTCGAAAATATCCTATAGTTAATAATATATGTATATGATGTATACAACACGCCCCACCAGAAGTCTATTAGTCTCTAAGTACGTACTTATTTATATACTTAAAGAATTCCATAGCATATAAGTTTTAGATTTTTTAAAACCACATTAAAACATATAATCAGATATTTTGAATCCACTATACATAAGTCATAGTATTTTGTACTGTTAGATTTTCATAATCTAGACGTAGTTTATATACGATAGAGCACAAAATGTATTGTCATACATATATATATTGTATGTATAAATTTGTTCACGTGTATGATTCAATGTGTTTTTCTTTCTTTATTGTCGCAGGTCCTGAATATATTCGGTAAATTTAGTATGGTTGTGATGTCAACGAGAATAGACAAGATTTATTTATTGTATATATATTATCTGTGGACCGTGTCTACTCTATGACAGCTGTCACTGCGACAGCAAACATTCCATTGCTTGTGTTTGGCGCGTTTTATTTATTTACCTACCTACCTTTGAGAATATTATCATACTAGCTGCGCCTGCGCCTGCTGGACGTCAGCTTCCTGTATACAAAAATTTATCAAAATCGGTTCAGCCGTTTGAGCGTGAAGAAGTAACAAACATACACACACACTCACAAACTTTCGCAATTATAATATTAGTAGGATTAACTAATTAATTAACAACTAAACCTATACATGTATTTTAATTCTTATTGGCATTAATATTAATTACGCAATATGAATATTTACAGATATTTAATGTCATTTGATTCACGACTGGTAAAATTATTAAAATTGACATCTGTCAACGTAAAAAGAAACATTTTCGTTCGGCCGTAAGCACTGCTACTGAGTGCATATCCTCCATACAAATATTGTCAAGGATGATGTACAAAGTTCGTGTTATATACATATAAATAATATTTGCATGTGTTCAAACTATGCATGTTTTAGTGTTCGAGAGCCAAAAGTTATAGATACTGAATTGATTGTCATTAATGAAAAGGTACTTATAAATTGTCGGTATATCGTTCCAATATTATTTTTAGCATTTTGTTATTATTGCCTTCCTTACCGCAAATGACTAAGTTTTAATTAGATAATTAATAAAATTTTTCAGTGTGTGACTTAATGTCTATATATACAGGGTGTATGAAAAACTGTGTCAACCCTCTTAACTACGTTATCAGTATCGATAATGTAACACATTAAAACAACTTACATTTATAAACTCTTCAATAAAAATAATAAAATTAAATATTAAATGATTATTTTATGTAGAGTAACAAAATGTTTGTAAGCCCTGGTATAACACGATGACACTCAATGACGTCATCACAGCTGCTGCGCTACTAGTGACGACCTTGAAGTTACTTTCACATTATTGAAAATATCGATATTTAAAAAATCATAACAATAAATAAATATTTAATAATCATATTATTTCGATACTTGTTTTGATATATCAAACATTAATATTATGTTTGATTGTAAAACAACATTTTTAACAGAAATAGATTAACGATTTATCCTAATAACACAACATATGTAGTTAATTTACCTGAACAAGTTTCAAATTATAATATTCATTATTAATAAAAGTTATTTTAATGTGAAAAGCATAACTATTTATAGCAATATTAGCAATATTGAAAATGTCGATAGAATATTTATCGATATAACCAGTGGCGGCTGTACCTTAAGTGCGCCCGTGCGCTGAACCACCAATTCAAAATATTTAAAAATTACAAAATATTATGTCATCTTAATTTT